AGGTGCGTGCTATCCCAAATGGTGTAAGCAACAACACATGAACGTTTCCTCTCCGTGTAGGAGGGCCAAAGCAGCAGCTGCTGAGCTGTTCAGTAGCTGTTCCCAGTGGGGTGGGAAGAGGCTTCCCCTTCGTATCCGACAGGACGCGGTTGTGTTTAGTCGTCCTCTGGGACCACCTGGTGCTCCACAGGGTTTGGACACGTTTACTGGTTCACTAGTTACCGCCTGGACGTGCGGCAGGAGCGGTGAAGGAAGCATCCTCTAACCCGTCGTGAAGACTTGAAGGAGAGCGCGCTCTTAGCCTTTACAACATCTGTAAACAACGTCCTTGTGTCAATAGCTTTCACAGCCACCTCGAGAGACATGCAGATGGTTCAGCGGCCATAAACCACCCAAACCGTTGAATGCCTAGGCTTGACTGTTGAGGAAATATCTTTAGGCTTTCATTTTATTCCCCCTTATGTGTCCCCAGTTGGTATCCTTCAAAGGATATTAAACTGAATACAGCAAATATCTGAAGATTTCATATGGTCATTTTGCTAGCACAGTACCAAGCACGTTAAATACATAAGTATCTGTACACGTTGTCCGGTGTGTAATCTTGGTGGAGTTACATTACTGTTGGTTTGTTACAGTGCATAGAGCCCCTAGCCTTGGGCAGAGGTGCCCCCCCTGTATAGTAAGAGCAATGCAGAACGATATAAATGTGACACAGCATGGTCACTAACTCAAAGAATGAATCATTCTGTTATAGGATAGAGATGCCACCAGGTTAAAAATAGGCAGGAAAGTGCAAAAAGCTGTCTGTCTGCCTCACAGTCAATAGCTGAAGGCAATAAGCCTACAGTAACAGCTGTAAGCAGTAGGACTACTTGCTTGTCCTCTTGATCATTATCCTTGCAGTCTTTAATTAGAAGAATTGTGTGCAGAGCTCTGAAAGGATATGTGAGCTACTGTTACCCGTATATGGGGCTGTTGCTTTTGTGAGGACAAGCAAAAGGAGAAAACGGGAAGATGATTTTGCTTTGCTGGTTAAGAATCTCGGTAATCTGCAAGATGTTCCCTCTGAGATTATTGCTGCGTTCTGCCAGGGAGGAGGTGAATTAACACAGTGGGCATCTTGTTCACTACTGCACGTTGGCAACCGCAAACAACGTGCAAGTATGATTTGGGGGGGGGGAAACGACCCCCAGCTGATAAAAGCATAAGAGGGTTTGTTTCCAGTGGTCACCGAACGAAGAGATCTGCCGGCATAGCAGTCACCTCAATGTGACCTACTGACTTCCTAGAAATTATTTACCATGGGCTGTCTAATCTCTTAGCCAGATGAAATTAGAAGAAAGAAAAAAAAGAACAGTGATGCAATGGCTGCAGCTCCAAGAGTGTACGCACAGAGCTACGCCAGTCGGGCTGCGGGAGCGCGGCCGCCCGCGGCGCGATTCCTGCAGAAGCGGGCAGGAGCTGCTGCACCGCGCGCAGCGTTTGCAGCTGCGTGTCTGCGCGTTCCAGGTGAAGGCGTTTCCGTGCTCAGAGACGACACGGTTTGGCCTGTGAATTCTTCACAGACGATGGCTTGCTCCCTGCTGATGGCTGGGTTATGTTAGTATTAGGGTGTAGCTAGGTGAGATGCTGCTGAATCTAGCCTCTTTCTCCCTCTGCTTTGTACGTGTGGCTTCTTAAATATGTCGCAGCTTTACCTAGTTTTGAGTTACTGTCTCCCATTGCGGGGGGGAAATGCTTCATACCCGTTTGCTTTTTCAGGGTGTTGGCTTGCTGGGTTGGGTCTCATCTCCACAAAGTCTATCTGTGCTTTAGAGGAGGAAGCTGGTAATGCAAAACACTCAGACAAATCCCTCTAGTACTGCTATCGTGAGACGTTTTTGCATGTTTTAAGACCCTCCCTGCTAACTATAGAGCGGATGGGGACATCAACAAATTATAATTTGATAATAAATTCTTGTGGCCATACATACAACTTCACTAACACGTACAAACAGATATTTCCCTTTCTGACAGCGTGAATGGTGTCTGACATTTCAGGGCTATGAGGGCTTCCTTGTCTCTCTAGTTACTCCATTCTTTAGGATGACATGTATTTCTGCATCTGTCTGCTCTTTATATTACTTTTCTGTCTCAAGCATCTCAATAAGGCTGTTAGCATTCTTTCTCCAGTTGGTTATATTTGTTTTCCTTTGCTTCTGGGAATCCTTTACACTGATTTCTAGTTATGTTGCAGTGTGATTTTACTGTTAAATGGGCATTGAAAGAAAATTCCTTCCTGTCCTGGGAACAGCTTCCCAATCCACTGATGATACAATGGCTCGTTGTTATTTTCCAATAATTAATTGGGCATGTTTTGCATTAATAGGGGTTCAAAAGTTTATGAAGCAACTTTTTGGGCCTCTTTTTTTTTTTTTTTGCTGTGAATGTCTGTAGACAGATTAAGAAATCTAACACAATTGGATGCCTACTGTATCTAAGCTATAGAAATACCTGGGAAATCTTCAACATTAATATGCTTAAATTACGATCCTAGCTTACTCACATATGCAGTCTTTGTTACCTTTACTATTTGCTAGTTGTTGTGTAGAAAATACTAGTTTTTTTGGCTCAGGCTCCCTAATAAGTAGTTTGAACTCCTCTGCCCTCATTGGTGCTGTTAACCAGAAAGATTTGCAGGCTTGTCCTTTATTCTGAACTCAGGATAATCACAGGTACTCCCAGCACAGTGCAATATTGGGAAAATCCTATTCCAGCAAGAGGCTGTAGCTTATTTACTCATTTGCTCAGTGAGAGACATTCAATGAAAAAGGTCTGGTTGTGGAAATTCCTCTTTCCTTTTTGCCCTCTCTCTGATCTGATGAAAAGAATTTGTATGTAGTAAGTCTGAGTAGGAGAGGACTGTTTTGTTCTATAAATTGATAGATTTTTTCATAGGTAGGGCACACATTCAGATAGGGCCCCAAAGTCATCACCATGCATTGGTTCCTGATGAATTGTATTATGTTTCTTGCCTGCTTTTTAACAGAAAAATGCGTGTCTCGCTATCTGCTGTCACGTTCAGCACCTGCAAATAAGTAATAATGGATCGGATATATAAGCCACATGTTACTGATGAGCTCTATATTTTTGGTATTGATATGAGTTAGCAAGGCTGTTCAGAGAGCCTTGTCTTGAGTTTGAGCTCAGCAGTGCCTCTTCTCTGAAAGAAAGAAGATAATCCTACTTCCTTCAGCAGCTCTAGTTCACTCTAATTTTAATTTTTTTTCTTTAATGAGGGGATGTCTCTTCTGCATATGCAATATTAGCTTTTCCACTTCCCTCAAATGGAAGAATAAAGCTTTACATGTCTACCTTTTTCTTAAATTGTGTAGCTGGATCAATGTTCATATTTTTTCATGCTTTTGTATTTCCTGTAGCTGATGACTTTATTTTCTTGGAGTTTGTATTAGCATACAGTATAGTCGAAACTGTTATCTTTATCCTTGTAACAATGTAGTCCTAAAGCAATGGGAGTTCATTTTACTGTAGAAAAAACAATTATATTGGCTGTTGAGGTATTTTACCAATATATGTTCTTCATTACTTGCTGCATTTTCATCAAGGTGCATGGCTATAAAACAATATTTTGCCTTTTTCTTTCTTTTTTATTTAATTAATTTAGGTTTTTTGTTACTGCATCCACCTAACAGTAGCAGAGTGCATTGCAGAGGTTCTGGTTTTAAAAGCCAACCAACTCTTCTAGTCACTTCTTTCTGAGACCTGGTTTTAAATTAAATTATGCTCACCAAACCCTCATCTCACTTGTATAAAAAATGGACTGCTGTCTTTGATGCAAGTTTCTAAAGGAGTTTGAGACTTTGCAAGACATAAATAGTGTAATCAACAAAGCAAGGCTTATAATGTCAAGAGTGTCAGCTGAAAAGAAAAACTGATGCTGCAGAAAATGTTTATATGGTTCTACTTGATCTGAGGATGCTATACCAGATAACATAGTCTTTGATTCTTTTACTTATTGATCTGTACTTAAGCATGTATTCATGCACATGCTGTAGATGCATCAGTCCTTTGCAACCTGAAGGAAAATATGCAAATAGAAGGATTTGATAATACTTTAAAGTGTTTGAGCACTTGATTAAAGGACAAGCAAGACAGAAACCTAATTCCTTCTGATTCCTTTCTTTTGTTTGAAATGATAAAACGCATATTGTTATTTCTTCTCTTTTATTCACATTTCTTTCCTGAGTGTATAGCTTGTCCTTTTAAAAGCTACGATGTAGTTGATTTTTTCCCTACCGTCGTTCTGCTCTTAAGAAAGGTGTAGAAATGACTCACTTTCTGCCTAATGCTGCCTTTAATTGATGACTCATCTGCTCATCCCACCATTAGTGGTCTTTTATGCACTGAGGTTGATCAGTAGGTGTTCCACGTAGCCTCCTATTTAGACACAGACTGTTACGGTGCCGTTCTTCAGGCATAAATGTGCCTGGCCTATTTGGCAACAGCTCTCTGATTTTTTTCCCCAATCAATCATTACGACAGAAAAGGAACCACCCACTGACAGATCACAAAGGAAAAGGAGTGCATCTTTACAGCCGGGATATTCAAAAGCTTCTGGAAGCCTTTCACTCCTGGACAGGGATGGTACCTTTCGCACTCAAGTCTTTGACATGTGAAGCTTTTTAACGTGAGAAAAAGGAAATTTCTATGATTCTGTTAAAACCGAAAAGGCCTTTGTGTATCAAGCCTGTTATCAGCTAAGCATTATGTCCAATTTGAGTTTTACCCCATCCTTTTCAGCTCTGCTATTCAGAGCCTTTGTCTTCGAGTCTAAACATGACATTGAGCATTGAGGCAGCATCCAAAAATACCCATCCTCATCCAGCTCACAGCAGCTCTTGTGCTCTGCATTGCTAGTTCACACAGTATTTGGGTAAAAATTATATTGTTTTTAACATTATTTTTAACAGTAACTGGAAGTGTTGCTTGTTTCTGTTTAGATGAGAGTCCTTACACAAAGTCTGCAAACCAGGCAAAGGCACCTGATGGAGCACTGTCTGTGAGGAGACAGAGTATTCCAGGTAAGATTTGCTTTGCTTTTTATAACACCTAACTTGTTTGTGAACAGCAAGGTAATACTAATAAAAATTCAACTAGTTATAAAAAGCAAATGAATTACAGTTACTACCAAGCAACTTTATAAGGAAGGTTCCATGGGAGCTGTAAGGAGTTCCTGCAGTTAGGTTACCTCAAGCTTTTGCTATGAAGAACATCCCTGTGTCTCTTATCTTTTGCAGCCCATTTCAGACATTGATCACAACCTTTTCATCAGAGGCTCGCCTATTTTCAGGCCTGGTGAAACCTGTTCTTTGATGTCTGGTTTTGATGGTACAGGGAGATTGGCTTGTATTTTCCACTGCTGATTGGACAGGCTCAGAAATCTAGCAGAGCAACACTACGTCAGAGTTCTCATCTTCACGTGATTTTGTGCCACATGTATGCCCATCCTTGTCTTTTCTGTCATCACATCACAAAAAGCTGGACCACTAGATCAATGGTTAAAATAGTGATCTTCGAACCTGTGTCTCTCTTAATTACTTCAAACAAGTCTGCAAAATATGCCATGAAAAGCAAGTTTTACATATACTATGCAGCAATCTAAGGGGATTTTCACCTCAAGTATAATTTTAGAGGTCTTTTAATGAAAACAAATGAACACTGACAAAGGTTGTGCACAGGCGGAATAACTGATGTGGCCATTCTCACCTCAAGCACAGTAACCTCTGACTTGAAGGGAAGATGTATTGCAATAGAAATCAGAAACTGTAAGGTCATGTCACCCACCTTCTAATGGCTAATGTTAATATTCTCTGCACTCTCTGGCCTTTTTATTGTACAAAGTCCCACAACCTCCAGGGAGGCTACGGATACAGGGGATGGAGCTCAGACCTTTACCACTGCCACGCTCAGATCTCATCCCAGTAGATGTGGTGTTTCTGAAGGGCCGAAGTACAGGTTTTATGTATGCTTTGTGTGCATGTTTGTATGTGTGAGAGCGCGCGAGCTGGATGATTTACTGTTGTTCATAATGAACATTTTTGTCTGTTGAAAACATCCTAGTGATTTACAGATTGTTATTTTTATGGTAGAATCATGAAGATCGTAACCATTGTGAAATGGCACGACTACAGTGTCCACTGTGTGCAGTTATTGTTATGAGAAAATCTTTAATTATGCAAACACCAACCAGGTTTTTTTTATCCAAGTCAATACAAATCAAGATTCATTGTTCTTCAGAGTGAATTAAGACCTCTATACGGGTACCTTTTCAGGTACTGCTTTAGCTCATAGGTCACTAATATTTAATGTACTAAGTATCTACTTTTTTTTTATTTTTTAAATCTTTTGAATTTTTTTTCACTGTGAACTTAGTAATTGCCATATATGGTGTGGTTAGGGTATTTATAAAACACTTACGCTAACGTCCGAACACAGACTGAAGTTCATGGTTTCACATGACATTTTGAGAACTCTTAACGATTTTCACTTGTGTTCTTTAAAGAGAAGGTTTGATGAAAATTGAATTGGCATGATTTTTCTTTAGAGCATTTGATAAGATTAGGATTTCAAGTGTTGAATTCATGACTAATGACCATTTATTTTGAATTTTTAAAAAATTCGCTGTTTATTCTGGAGTTTTTGAGAGCACTGCAGATAAATCTTTCCCATGTGCTCTGCGTACAGTTTGTTCAGAAAGATAATACTGACAAGTGTTTGATGAGATGTACTCTGTTTCATTTCAGGTGTTCTGAAAAAACTAATCTAAGCTTATGTATGTTCTTCAGCTATATAGTGAAGACATTTATCTTAATGCATTGGTGCATTTCTAGACCTTTAGGAGGCCCAAAGGACAAATGAGATTGAGCTGGTTGGATATTAAAAAAAAAAATTAAAACTTATTCATGCCCTGACAAATTTATATTCTAGCACAGCGGATGTTGTGGGTTTAGGTACATAAATAACTTTGTAAAACTAAGTACTCTTTTGAGAAGTAACTTGAACATTTTGTAGTTGACTGAAGTTTCTGAAAATAACCTGTAGACATTCGTATCACTTGGACACTGAGAAAATTTGACCCCACATTTCACATGTAAGCTAGCACCTTGTAAATAGCATCTATTCTTGCTTGTCTGTGGGCAGTTCATCCATACTATGGATTTGTCTTGACACAGATGCGGAAGAATCCCAGCTAGCCAGCTTGGCTTGGTAGTAGGAGGTGTACTAGTAGCATTAACTAGTTTGAGACCAGAAGTAGTACAGCCGCTTTTGCTGGGGGGCAGGATTGTGATTCTGGCAGTATGTAGGTCAGCTCCAAATAGCTTTTTAATTGGAAGGTATGATGCAATGAACCTGGTAAATTCTTGTAGATGTGGATGGAGACATGTCAGCTGGAGTCAGTGTCAGTAATCCTTACATGGAGAGCATACACTGCATGGAAAACGTTAATTTCTATTCCTCCCAGATGGTATGCCTGATAAAACATCACATTCCTGAAGTGCTGTTTTTTCAAGCTTGAAGCATGGCAGTGCCTTTGACAGTATAGCTGTCTAATCCACTTGATGTTCTGTCATTCCTGAGACATGGACAGCAGAAGTCTTATTCCCAAGGAATGCTCTGGCCATTGAATCAGCCAAGAGAAAACTTTTGGGTTTTAGCAAGGTAAATGATCTTATACTGAGCTTTGCACAGATTTGAACTGTCTGTGGAAAAAATATTAGCGAAAATATATATCCAGGATGTGTGATGTAAATCTTCCAGTGCAGTGTGGGATCGTGTCATCTCCCTGTGCCTGGTGAAGGTTCCTTCTCATGACATTTGAATTCACTTTTAAGGATTCCAAGTGCTCTTTCCTTTGGCCACATGTCAAAAAGGGGAGCTTTTGTTGCTGTGAGACCCGAAACTACTATACCGACTGTAAACCCCAAGAGGTTGTTTTTATCCTTCCATGTGAAACTGTATTGAATGTGCAGTATTGATGAGCAAAGACTGAAGGCACAGAGAAGTAATATAATTCTATAGAGGTTACACGGAGCTCAGGCTTGGTTTATTTTACAGGAAAAAAACATTGAAATAATCATTTTATAATTAAAGTCAAATGAGCACATACTGTGAGATCAGTGCACTGAGTTTAATTCCTTTCATCCCCAGAAGCAGGGAATGGATTAAGCATCTCTCTGGAGCAGAGCTTGCTTGCTTAAGATGCAGAATGCGTTATTCATGTGATGAGACTACATGTCATATTTATCACGTCTTCACATGGCGCAAAATCAACAAGCAACAGAACCTTTCAAAGGGATTTACAGAATTGCTGAAATTATAGTTAATTCAAATTATATGCATTAATATAATTGCAGTTTGAAACTTGGGCTTATTTTTGCAGATGTGTAGGTGTTTAGTTATAGTTATATATACATGATTGTTTGAAACATTATTTAGCGTCACAGTCAGAATTTCTTAATGTAAAAGTGAGGCTTGAGCTAATGCCAGCATGACAAGCAGAGCCTGCAAAGTAAGAAACAAACAGGTTTTTTCTCCTCTGAACCTTTAAATTTAGGCTGTCCACTAGTATATAATGAAACCTTATTGCTGCTCTGCCCATGTAGTCAGGTACAGAAGCCAATAGGGTGTGTGCTGTGCCCCATTCGGGAAGCTGTCACCGTCAGACTAGTACTTAGGCACGTGAATGAAAGCAACGTGTTTCAAAATTCAGGGGTAAGACCCTTCCCTCAGAATCACAGAGGCAGTTAAAAACATCTGTCATTTAAAACCAAAGTGTTTGATAGTCACTTGTTAGCTAACCTCTCGAATCCCTAGGTTTAGACAGCCGTAGTTCCGACTGAGTTCCTGGGCTGAGGTCTCCTCCCGGCTCGCCGAGGGTCCGCAGCGGTGCCTGGCCGAGGGGAGGCGTTAGGTCAACAGCACTTGAGTCAACGGTGTCGTTCCCGTGGTTGCTTATTCCTGCGAGAGCTTTAAAAAGGGCATCAAATATTCCAACGGTACTGATGCCTTGTCGAGAGCCGATGTCACTGTTAAAGAGGCACTTTGAAATCAAGGAGGCTTTAACATATGCTTAAAGATAAGCATGTTCTCAGTACTGTCCTGAATATGGACAGGCTGAATAGCGGCTCCCACGCTTTCCAGACTAAAATACAATGCCCTCTTATCTGTTTTAACAACATGTCAACAGTAATGCTGTGCAAATTCTTCATTTATTTATTTGTCTGTTTTCAATTCACTCACTGAAAATTGAGGGGGTAGAGGGGAATGAAATAACCTAACACAAGCATAAAAATAATTCCTCCATGAAACAAAAAGAGACACCATAAATTTGAGGCTGATTAAAATGGTTCATAAAATCTGCAACATAATTTTGGTTTTAGTCCAATTCTGTACTTGCTTTTTATTGAGTCTTAAAAGTTACTATTATTAAAAAAAAATTAAAATAAATAGTCAAAAACCCCACAGTTTTTAAAGAGCTGAAACATTTCATCTTCTCAACATTTTATTTTTGTTGGCTGAAGCCATTAGTAAGTTTTAGTTAAATTCTGCAAATAGTTTTGATTGGGTTGAAAGTCTATTTTTTTTAGGGAAAAAGCTAATTTGTACCCAATCTATTTGACATTAAATTTAAAAAAATCCATACTTTATACTTCTTGAATCTACTGACTCAGACATCTGCACTATGGGAGACTTATAGAAATAGGAAGTTTTATTGCCTGAAGTGGTCAAGGGCTCAAAAGAACTATAATACAAACCGTAGTCTGGGACAGCTATTTGAATCATCTGTGAATTCAGAGATTTAGTTTAGCTAGGAGGATCGCAGTCATGTAGCTGTCTCTCTCCTAAGTAAATTCTTGTTCAAAGAACCGGTGCCAAATAATGAGGAGACATAGTGGGAATATTTCCTCAAACAGAGGAAATTTCCTTTTCTGGGGGACAGAAGAATAACACAGCTGCCTGCCCTCTGCCCTGCTGAACGCAGCTAGCAAAAGGTCCGTGAAGTGTTGTCCCTCATCGTGTC